ATGAACAATATTATGTACTCTAAATTGAAGTTACATTACCTTTATCATTTCTGATACACACTCTGCTCCTTTCACACCGATTCCACAATGTGATAGGTTTAGTTTTTCAACGTTATCCATATATTTCAGAGCGTTACATATTGCCTCGCATCCTTTATCACCTAGATTTGACCGTTGAAAACTTATTTCCTTCAAATTGTCATTTGCAGATAATGCCTTTAGAGAATATGGATTAGAATATAATTTAAAATATGGATTCCAATAATTTTTCTTTCAAAGTAATGTTTTAACAATATGTATACTTTTTTAAATTATGTTTATAGTAATTAAATATTTTTTCTATATATATAAAAATATTTATTATAATTACAAATGTTTTTTGTTTTAAAAATGCAATAAAAAATAAACTATTACGAATGTAGAAATTATTTATAAATTTATAAGTTAAAGATTTTTATTACCTTTGCTATTGTTTCCACATACATATCATTTATTGGCAGTCCCTCAAGGCATAATATCCTCAGGTTTTTGTTAAGCTCTATAACTTTTGAAACCGCTTCGATAACACCTGTAAAGACATACTTAGTGCACACACATGGCTTCTGTCTAAAGAATTTAGCCTTCTTTTCAGTGTCAAGGTGTTCCAATACTACAAAAAATTAATTAATAAAAAAATTTAAAATTTTTTTTTATAAAATAATATTTTAAATATGTTACCTATTGGTTGACAACGCCGTAGTCTTATTGCAAGTGTTTGTAATACTTGATCGTAATACAATGATTCAACGATGAGGCCCCAATCAGTAACGCCAATTTTATCTGCACTAAAATCCAGAAGTGACGTTGCGTTATTTTTCGAACGAATATCACTTAAAGGTGTTACATTTTTGGAACGACAAAGCTCCAAGTATCTGAAATGAAAAGAACGGCACCGCGTACTTTTCTTAATAGAGGTAAGACTACCACAGTCACGCATCTCCATTTTCTTATTTTTTGAATTCAATTTTTCCAGTTGCCTAACACTGGCAAGACTTTTTGAATCAAATGCTTTCACACTTGTTTTTATTCTATTTAAAAATCAATAAATATTATAAGTGTTTAAGATATTCAATTAAATTAGTAAAAAAAATTAGTAAAAAATTATAAAAATGCGTGGCAAGTAAAAAAAGTCATGAAAATAATTAAAAATTTTTTTTTTAAAGATATTATTTGAATTTAAAAAACAAGCTAACTAATTTTCACAGATTTTCTTAAACAAATTAATAAAAAAAATTGTAAAAATCACAACTTACCTTTATATAATCTTAATTTTTTTAAAGGCACTTTTAATTAACTATTTTTAACGCAACTTCAATTATTATAAACAAAACTCAATTCAAAATAAAGGAATACCAACTTTTTTTTTTTAAATTTTCGAATGAAATCGTTCTCGTAGTTAGCAGTTTTTTCTCCGGAAACTTTTGGAAACGTATTGAAGAAATTTATTTTAATAATGAAATATAAATTTGTTACTTGGAGTAGTAAAAAAAATTTCAAAAATTCAAAAATTTCAAAGGTATATAGTTTCGGATTAACCTATATAGCAAAGAAATGTCAAATAACACTTAGTATTCTACAATTCTACAATTCCAAAAGGTATACTACGTTATTTTGTAGACTTTAAAAATTGTGAACATTTTTTGACTACAGATTCACACTTTTTGGTTCCAATATATTTAAAATACAAAATTACCGAAAAAAATAAATCTTTGAGAATATTTGGGCTAAAGATAGTAAACTACCAGCAAGTATTGATTTGAATTTTTTTTTAAATTTATTATTTTATGACCAAACAATTTTAATAAAGGGTTTTTGCAGGGTAATTCTGGTATTTATTTTTGTGCTCAAACCTACAGCCTCCCAAATACCGGCTGGAGATTTGTAACTGTCATGCCTTCGTAAACAAATATTGGTTACAAAGCCATACCCACAGTATATCGCTAAATAGCAATACACCGTTCATAGTGATGACTAATCACCGGGTATGCACAATGGAATATCATCGATATTTCGACTTTAATCAAAAGTCAACATCAGAAAACTAAATTTTTATTTTTTTTGTAAAAATATTTTTGTTTATCTATCTGGTCATCTACTCATCAACCCTTTAGAAAAAAAAGCAATAAAATTTCGATAAATACCGGCAATATGAACTTCAATTGCTGCGTCAACCCAATTTGTAAACAAAAAATATAAACAATAATTTCGGCGACGCAGTCATTAAGTTTCATGGTTCGGCGATTGCTCGCGTGCTCTTCGTTTCCATAGTGCACCATGGTACTTCGTAGTATGCAAGCATTCTCTATTGTTGTTGCTGTGGCAATGTTTCGATTCCATAACATTTTAATCAACATTGGGTAAGTGCTTTACCATTCTTTTCATACGTTTAAGCCAGGCTTAAAGCCAAATTTAAACTTAAAACGAATGCAATTTTTAGTCTTTGTGAGGTGTTCGAAGTTGTCGTTTGTTTTTGAAATTAAGGCGGATTAAAATTATAAAAAAATATTTTTAAATAAACATATAAGCAAGTTAAGAAATAATCAGTTAAAAAAAAAACAAATTCTATAAATGATACTGTGCAATTAATTTAAAAATATTAAAAGTAATTTAATATAATACAAAAAAAAATAATAAATAAAAATAAATAAAATATATAACATTTTTAATATCTTGAATGACGTAGCAATAGCTGAAGTGAAGAGAAGTCACGCTTCAAAAAATCGTATATTGTTAAGAAAGTAGTTCTGGGCTAATTTTGCTATATCCTAAGAAGTGTGCCAGTTGTCCGCTAATTAGTGAATTGAAACTAAGAAAAATACAAATAAGAATATTTTATAACAATATCCGGTTAAAAAAAAAAGTTGCTACGAATAAACCACATGAGGATGAAGAACTATTAAATTACTCGACATTGGGGTAAGTTTGCAAAAAGAGGGTTGTTCAAGAATATTTGCTAAAATATTTTCACTTAAAGAACTTCACATTAAAATATGCAAATTCCTGAAGGCGTTCAAATTCTATAAATAAGTTGGTGTTTAAAATATTTCCAAATGTTACTTTTATGTTGTCATAGTACTTGAACAATTTTGTTACTTTCGTATTTTGTAGAAGTTTCCATGTAATTACTATTTTTCTTAATTTAAAAGAATTATACTATAGGAAATCTACATAGCGGCCTATATGACACTCCAAAGAGGTGATATTTTAGTCCGTATAAATACATATTAATATGTTAGGAAGTCGAGCAGACCATTTCTACAAAGGTCAGTCTGACGTTTCATAACGTCATAAAAAAATCATCATAAAACTCACCACAAAAAGAAATTATGCCACTATTTTGGAATTTATATCACTTTCTGAATTAATCTGTTCTCAATTACAAAGTTTATAAGCTTTATCGAGTCAAGGATGCTGAACTTTACTACTTTTTTCATTTTTAGTAAGAATCTCCTTAGGAAATATGTTTCTTGGAGGAGTGCCTGACATTTGTGCGTTATGTCTCTCTATTATTAGGGTCTAGGATGTTTTTAAAGTCCAATTTAACCCAACTGAGATATTTTAGGTCACATTTTATTTTTAATTTCCCTAAAAACAACTTTGTTCCTTTTGTGAATTCCTTAAACTAGAAATCACTTAATAATGTTACCGTTTATCTAGAAAAAAGTCGACAGAGCAGCAATAAATTTACAATCAATTCTTCCGTGCTTTATTTTTCGCAGGTATTGCAGAAGTCTCTACTGGGATCTAGCATATCTTCAAAATAATTTAATCCAACGAAAGTATTTTAAGTTAAGTAAAATTTTTTTAAAATTCCATCAAGTCAACTTTATTTCCTTCGGTAAATCCCTTAAAATAAAAATCTCTTAATTATATTAGTCTTTCTCTGAAAGAAAACTGCACAATAACAATAAATTCTTGTCGTTTCTTCTATACCCTTCTTTTGGTAGCTACTGCAGAATAGTTTTTTGTAGTCTTAGATATCTTTATAATTAAGTAAGATTAATTTTTGTTTGAATTAGATATACATTATTAATCTGTTAGTAATTTATCTAAAATTTGGCACATTGAAAATCAAAAATTGAGTAGTGTGAATCTAAATAATCCTTACAACCGATTGAATAGGAGTTATTTGTATAATATATAGTCAATTAATATAAATACTATATTCAAAGAGAATGTAGTAAGAGTGAGAACGATTATAAAGAATATAAAAAAAAAATAAATTAGAATGAGAAATGATTATAATCAAGACGAAGGAAGTCAAGCTTTGTTCTTATCAAAATTAACAAAATCAGGAAATTAAAATTTAACTTAATTTAATTAAATTTTTTTTTTTTTGAATAATCGTATAGTTTGTTGAGTTTTTCAGTACGAAAAACAGATATATATACGTCAGAGATGTATAGTATAACGCAATTGGTATGTAAAAAGTCTGGTCGTTTCAGATATATGTCGATTACTCCTGCAGCTGAACTTTGACTATTCTAAATAGTTGTCTCAGTAAATTTGAAACTTGGAGTAGTTAACAAGAAATTACGAAATAAATTGTTAATTATTTATAAACATTTATAATTAATATTTAAGAATAAAATTTTAAAGAATACCATAGAAATCAATTCACTTCATTTTGAATTATGACGCGTTATGCAATTCAGTATACAAAGTATATAGAATATTAAAAAAAAACCAAAAAATGCCATCAATCAGTCAAAATTTAACTAATCGTTTTTAAGGTCTTTAACTATTGCATTTATATAAAATAAAATATAAATAAAATATATATAAATAATAAAATATTTGATGCAATCCTCCAATATTTTTCTTAGCTTTATAGACGACCTTTAACTTCTTCTGCAAATTATCTTTTATAATCGCAAGCGATTTGAAACATATTCCTCGAAATATGCAAGTTTTAGCTTCCTAAGCAGAATAAAACTATTGCGTCCCTCGTGAAGTAAGTACGGTATCAAATGTTAATGGAAAATTCCTGATTATTTATTGGCATTATAGAATTGTAGAAATATGTTTGTCAGTTATTTATTTATTTATTGTTTAGAAAATTATTTATTAGTATTTATTTTACAAAGAAATATATATATATATACTTATATACATATATTCCTATTGGAAGGTGCTAAGTGATAAAAGTTCTGGATATAGGCTTTCAAGAATAAGCTTGGATCGAAGTTTTCTGTCCGTCATTTATTTCAGTTAACCAATATCGCTATTTGTTCTTTCCCGGCTTTGGAGATATTATGTTTATATCATAGGACATATTTTTTGTTTGCTTATATTATTTATTATTTTTAATCTTTATATAAATTATCTCAGTTATTAATATTAGAATTTATTAGTAATAACCATTTTTTACTGTACATATATATATATCTTGATATACCAAATTTCTCTCTCTGATACCGTCCAGCGGAGATCAACAAGACTTTGTGAATGTGTTCGGTTGGTTTCCACTTTAAAGATAAGATAGCTTTGGATCCGATAGGTGGCGATGTTAGAGCGATGTACAACAAATTTTTAAGTTTTTCAATGAAAAACTTTTTTAAATTTTTTTAAATTTTTCAGCCAAAAATAAATACAAAATAAAAATAAATACAAATTTTTATTTTCCAATCACTTGTTAATATTTTTAAATGTTATTGTTTTATTCTTAAATTCTCAAAAGGTAATATAAAGTTGCTAACGGGTTTCATTACGGGTAATTATGGTCTGAAATCTCATCTATATAAACTTTGATTGTCTACTAATTCGAAATGAATTTTTTGTGACTGTCCAGCTTAAATAATGCACAGAAAAAACTTATTTCATGTGGTATCTCTGTCAACAGAACTGATTAAGACTTCTCTTCAGATTTAGTTCTGGACTTTGTTCACAAAGCTTTAAAGGGCTTTGTGTAATCAATAGTGAAATTGATACAATAGGATTCTTTTGACCGCAGTACCGACTGTTAGGCGATTTCACAACAATGGTTTTAATATATATAATAATATTAACAAACACTTTTTATCGATGATTTTGTATTAAAAATATCATTTATACTCTTAGAGACACTGCGAAACGGAACCTGCGAAAAAAATTAATCGAAAATTACCGCAAAAATTTTAAATATTTATTTGTTGACACAAAATTAGTAACTATTATATAATAGTTATATAGACTAAATTATATATGTATGTATTTTTTCTCGAAACGCATTATCTGGTTGGAGCTAACACCAACGAAACTTTAATTAAGCGCAGTCTTATTAGAGACTTTATGCATAGTTATGCTCGCAATGGCACGCATCGCTGCTAGTGCGTTTACAGAGTGCAAGCTGAACTGAATGTATCACCAGCTAAACTCTGGATGTGCTCGTGCTCGTAGTACCATATGTATTGCCTTCAATTTCCGGTGTGGATTTATGCATAGTAAATAATTTAAACATTTCCTCCCCCAATTGGATATTCGTCAACAAAACTGACAACCTAAACAAAGAAGAAAAGGTCTGGCCGAGCTACTGAGAGTCAAGTTCAAATTGGTTGAGTATGGATGATGACGATGATTATGATGATGATGAGGTTGGTGATGATGGTGACGATGATGATGATGGAGAAGTTACACTTGTCATGTAACAAAAAATCAGTTGAAAAAATAGACTATTAAAATACAATAACAACAAGAGTATTAAAGTTCGTTGCGGTAGGTTGATTTTTGATTCATAATACCTTCATACTCTACTCGTGCTCAGATACATACCTAGCTACTCTACTCATACACTATATTCAGCTATATTCAGCTATATTCACTATATTCACACTTCACATAAAATGATTCTTCTGTGTAAAAATGTATGTGTCTTCGGTACAATTTGTCCGTCACACTCCGTATACTTAATTATTTTTTTTTAATTTTTTTTACAATAGCTTTACTTTTTTCGCAAACATATTTGCATGTTTTATTGATTTAATTAATTCGTATCTTGTATTTTTTCTAAAATTAATTGACCAATATTTAAAACAGTATAATTAAAAAGTAGTGCACAGTGTAAAGAAATTACCAAAGGAAAAAAAGTGAAATGCACATAAATCAAGAGAAAAAAATAAAAAAAAAAGGTTTGTGAGATGAAGAAAATTACTAAAGTCGTAGTACATATTATACATATATTAATATTATACTTAATAAAACTGCAGTTGACATTATTTATAATATCTAATAGAGTAGAATTGTGTATGTTAATCGACTAATCCTTCTTTTCTTTGATGTTAATCTTGTGTGGTCCATTAATGTATTTGTTTTTCTCTGTTATTTAAAGTAAATAATTAAGTACAGCTTTCTTAGAAAATAATATGTACGTATAATTAATATAAATGGGAGGAGGAGTATGATAATGTGTTTGAACATAAGAATATCATTAATCTTAATCTTGTGTTTAGACCTTCTGTTGCTAATCGAACTCAA